TTAGTTTTATTGTTATATGGAAGTTAAAATTCAGTAATGTACAACGAAATCATAATTTCTTAAACCAAATAAAAAACGAGGGCACGAATATGTATAATATTAATAAGGATATTTTGATAAATATAAGGACATAATTAATTTTGATTATAGTTGTTTTCAAAAAGAGTAATGTAATATTGCACAAAACTAAAAACTACTAATTAGCACAGCATATATAAGGATACGCACTGGATACTTTCCTTTATTAGCACCTCATTATATGTTCCATAATATAACAGGATGATGTGAGTATGTTTATAAAACCGTATTACATAATTTATTTTAATAAAATAGATTTATGAAACATTTAATGTAAAAAAATGCATTTCTACATATATCGTACAAATTGTATTTTAGTTAAATTCATGAAGTGCAACAAAAATAACAATGTATAGTTTTTCATCTGATAATGTGCTGTAATACTACATATTAATGTATAACCTATAGCATCTATTAATGTGTATTCAAAAAAATGAATTCAACAAAAATTAGAATCCTATAAAATAATATTAACTTAAATATAACGATTTATTACGGTTTAATTAATATAATTATAATTTGTAAATGAGAAGTAAAGATGCATATGTTTCTAATATATTATATAAAATTACAGCAAAAATGTGAAAAAAAAAATACACTTTAGAATATTGCATGTACAAGAAATTTTTGTTCTATTATCTTAATAATAAAATAGATGCGAAGCTATCGAAAAAATAATAGACCTATGATTTTTTCAAAAACGTCGAAAGCATTTTCTTTATTTGCATTAAAACAAAATATTTGATGATGTAGACAAAAGATTTTAAATATAGCCATTTCAGAGGTATTATATTTTTCGTTTATGTTTCTATATAAAATGTCTTTATAAAAAAAACGGAACACACTTTATGAAATATACATATTAGTAAATAAATAATATATCTTTTAATTTTCATCATGTTCGATTTTACATGAAGCATTTATACTACAATTCAGTATAATGAAATGTGAATACTGATTTTTATTCTTTTCTATAATCTATTACATCTCATGCAAAAGAGAATTAAAAAGAGGAATAAATAAATAATTTCTTAGGGATTTTTTGAAATATAATTTGTAGATGCAATTGATATAACAAAGGTGCTGAAGAATAGTAAGAATGTATCTTTAATATCCCTATAATATGCTCAATAATGAAACATATAATTTTATGTTAAGTGAAAAGACATTTATATATATCCAGGAACGAGATATTATATGATGATATAATTATAATTAATAAATTAAAAGGAAAATTATTTATCATATATTATATAGAAAAATTTGACTCTCAAATGCATACATTCATGTTTATTGTTTTCTCATTAATATTATATTATAAAAATATGCATGTTACTATACATTTTTAGTACATATGTTTTAATTTAAATCATAGGTAAAAAATAACATTTTTTTTTTTATTCATTAAAGGAACAGTATTAACATCTTATATTATGCATAATAAAAAAAATATATATATGTCCTTTATATATGTATAATTTAGTAATACAATATTCTATTTATGTTATAATAAATTTATCTGAGGTCGTATAAGAATATGCAATATGTTAATACATAATAGTTCATATTACAAATATATATTATTTCATAATGTATTATAATTATGATAATCGAAATATATAACAAATAATGAATGATTTCATAACATAATATTTTAATTTTTAATAATATGTAGAATAATACATATGTTGTATATTATTTTTAAAAAATATATAATTATTATAAAATTATTATATTTTCTGCATAAAGTATAATAATGATTTAATATTTTATTTATTTTATATTTATATTATATCAGGAAGTATTATTATATCTTTCAAATATATTATGTTCATAATATTGAGAATATATATTGTAATTATTACTATTATTTATGTACATTTTTTTTTTATTTTATAAAAAGATATTTTTTTATATTCAATTTAAAACTATAATTTCTTTATATTTTTTAAATTAATCTTTTCTGAAGGACATAATTTCAGATATTGTTAAAGTGTTTAGCGTTAATTATGTAAAAACATAGACATATGTGTTCTGTTATCTATTTATAAAAAAATAAAAATATAATAGCCTATGATTATAATTGCTAATTTAGGCTTCATTTATTATTTACTTTTATTATATTATAAGAAACATAAAAATATGAAATGTAATCATATAAAAGTTCTCAATATTCTGTAGTAATAAGTTGAAATTTTTGTTTGAAGTATTTCTAA